AAAAAAAAAAAAAATTAAAAAAAAAAAAAGACTTGTGGACTTCAACTCCCAGAATTCCTCAGCCAGCTTTGCTGGCTGAGGAATTCTGGGAGTTGAAGTCCACAAGTCTTAAAGTTGCCAAGGTTGAGAACCCCTGATCTAGCAGCTGCCCTTCCTGATTACTCTCAGAAAGATGCTGTTCTGACTAGACTGGGGTCATCTTTACTTGATTTTTGGGTAATTGCTATTATTACTGAGATTTGATTCTATGCTGACTTGCATGCTTTCCATTGATATAGTGTTTCGTGTCATATTAATAGCTCATAATCATCTAGATTGCAGAAAGATCCAAATATAACATATAAATAAATTATCAACCAACATCACAAATGGGCAAAGCCATTGCAAAGCAATGCCAGCAGCATGTCTGAGAATTAGTGCCTCTTAGTTTCCCAACAAAGAAAATAAAATAATGTACCATAAGTATAACAAGTGAAAATATATGTACATGCGTAAATAACATTTTACTACACCTTCAGTTTTTTATGTATGCTGCTTTGTTTTCCTGCTTCTCCTATTAGTGGATTTTCACTGATCCACTGAGGATATAATCTACTTCAACCTGAGGTTCCCATCACTTCCTTTTAATATGTTATCTTAGTGTTTCTGCTTCACTCCATAAAAGGAATGGTGACCACAATTCAATCATAATAAGAATTAAAGGGAATTTATGTTAGATTATAATAATACTGAATAGGTGAATCATTCATCTAAATTCATTTCCATCAGCAGATGGAAGTCAACCAAATTAGCTGAGGCAAATACTTTGACTTTTAAAAACTATAATTCTGGAAATAAGAAAGTAAAGAAATGTGAATATATAACATTTACACAAACTCTTGTATTAGCAATAAAAGTTAATATATTTCAGATATTAGACCATAGACATGATTATGTTTATGTGTGGCTTCAAGTCATTGACAGCAACTGCCTGGATGAGTTTGTGCAGTTTTCTTGGCAAAAATTCAGAAATGCTTTCCCTTGCTTGTTTCTTAGGGCTAAGAGAGAAGAACTGGCAAATGGTCACTTTATGCCTAAGGTAGGACTATAACTCACAACCTCTACATTTCTAGCTTAGTGCCTTAACCATTAACCAAACTGGGGTTCATAATTAACTTTCTAAAAATTCCATGCCATCATATCAATTCAACCAGACTATTGCAACACTCTCTACATGGAACTGCCCTTGAAAAGCATCCAGAAATACCAGTTGGTTCAAAATACAATGGCCCACATGGTTTTGTGCAGACCTAGGTATGCACATATGTTACCTTCCCTGTGGGAATTGCATTGGTTGCCAATTTGCTTCCAGGTACAATTCAGGATGCTGTTTGTCATCTTTAAAGCCGTTCATGGCTTGGGACTGGGTTATCTGATGGACTTTTGCCAGTCATATCCACCTGACACCTACAGCAGGGTCGCAAGGAATGTTGCGGGTCCCATCCCCTTAAGGAGGTACCTCTGGCAGGACCCAGAAGAAGGGCCTTGTCCATGGTGGCTCTCTCCTTATCATCCCTTCAAAAATTAGACTGTCCCCCACTTTGACACTCTTTCATAAAGCCCTGACAACTTGGTTTTGCCAGTGGGCCCATTTGACTGTGTTGTCATGGGAGGGGGTGTGTATTGTGTTTTTTTTAAATTTTCTATACAGTGTTTTTATTGCTTGCAAGCTGCCTAGAGTCGCTGTGAGTGAGTAGGTGACCATATGAATTTCCTAAATAAATTAATAAAAATAAAATATCTTTACCTTTAAAGTTAATGTTCTTGTTCACAAATTTAGTTCAAATTACTGATGGTTTTACTTTTGGGCGTCAGTGAAGTTTTGGCATTTAGATTCCAGACCAGGTCTCCTGTTTCAATACCTGGAGTAGTCTTCCATTCTACCACTGTGTTGCTGAGAATGCACAAAGGAGCTCATCTGCTAATCTTAAATTCCTAAAGACAAGAGGGGGGTATCACAACTTCTGTATGGTGCCCACCTGGGTTCCTGTTCCACTTTTGCACCATTAGAAATTGTACAATCCAAATTACTAAGACAAACCCTTCAAGTCACAAAATATATCTCTAATGCCACCCTGCAATTGAAGATAGACCTCATGAAAATAGAGACTAGAGCGTGGGTGATCATACTCAACTACTGGCTCAGACCATCCATTTTTCCCCTTGGCGTTGCCCTATTAACTATGAATGATGATTTTCAATCCACATGGAAATTAAAATCTTACCCTTGGGCTTCTCTCCAGATCTTCTACTCAGCATGGGATAAGATCAGGTTAAAGCACATATTAAAGAGCATACAGAAGACACAGAGCATCACTTGAATCTAGTCATACTACACCATCCTTTATTGAAAAATTCAACAGGTACTCTGCCTCCCGTGTGACATACTGAACCAAACTCAAAGTACCTAATCACTGGAGGACCTTTATTCTGGATGATGCCATACCCTCAGTTATCCTTGAAGGCTGATACAGGAATATTCCCTACCCAGACAGGCAATGTCTCTATGACGCAGGACAAACAGAAACAACAGAGCTTTCTCCAGAGCCTGGGTTACAGAGACTTTCATATTGGCCTCATCTCACCATGCACAGGATAATTCTACACTCCCTCCTACTTTCATATACTAACCCTGCTACAATATGCAGTGTTGCAGGTTCTGTACAGTAGTGCTTAATATTCATCAGATAGTGGCCTGGGGCATAAACTAGACAATGGCCGTCTAATTTGACACCCTAGAGCAGTGATGGCGAACCTTTTAGAGACCGAGTGCCCAAACTGCAACCCAAAACCCACTTATGCAGCGTCGGGTGCTGGGGGTGTGTGGCCCATTGGCTGGGTGTGGCCAATTGGGTGGGCGTGGCTGCGGTGGTAATGGCAGACTGGGTGGGACTAAAAAGTTCAATCAATCAATTCCAACTTTGCAAGATCTTTTATTATTTATTATTTATTTAGCATATAGCATACAATGTCAGGGAAATCTACAAATGCTAGATACAATGCAGTCCTGACAGTCTAAATTGTTAGTTCATTCTGTTCAGCACTTGCGTGCCTATCCTTGGGGCCCCACAGGGGTAATAATAATAATATAGTATAATAATAATAATAATAATAATAATAATAATAATAATAATAATAATAATAATAATAATAATAATAATAATAAAGTTGGAAGGGACCTTGGAGGTCATCTAGTCCAAACCCCTGCTCAGGCGGGAAACCCTATACATTTCGGACAAATGGTGAACTATCTTACAGCAGCTCACTAGTGGTGCTCAGGTTGCTGGCTCTTTTGGGCTCCTCCGCCAGTCTTGCCTCACTTTGCCTTGTGTTGTGTTGCCTCACGTCTGGCCAGGTCTAGTGCTGGCTTCTGCTTCAGCACAATGTAGCTAGTTTTTTTCCACTGCAGTGGTACCCATTTATCTACTCACAATATTGCATACTTTCAAACTGCTGGGTGGGCAGGAGCCAGGGAGCAGGCAGTGGGAGCTCACCCGGTCTTGCGGAGCCAGGCTTGAACCACTGGAGCGCAGATCATTTCTGGCCAGCAGTTACAGCCTCCTTAAGCCACTGCCCTACTGTGAACCTAAGTCAACAGTGGCTTAATGGTACATAATCGATCAGTCACCAGATGTACAGGAAAGAAATATTTTTGCTGTACCTCATGTTGACTCGACTTTCAGTCCTCAAGCCAGCAGCCCTTTCATTTACCTAAAGTGGGAGTTCCCAGCCCTGGCCATTTCCAAATATATAGACCTCAACTCCCAGGATTCCACAGTTATCATTAAGACTGCTGGGAAATGAAGTCCACTCATTTTCAATTTGCCATGGTTGGAAAGCACTTACCTATAGGATGAAAATATATTATGTACCTAGCCATGTATTCTGATTACTCAAATATTAGTTCTCATTTCATATGTCTATAGTATATTGTACTCAACTAAATTTTAATAATTTTGTTTAAAATGGGATTTTTGTCATTAATCTTTTTCTTAATGTCCACATGGCTACTCTCCTGAATCCTTTAGAAAGCTAAATTTATATTGTAAACATGACTTTTCGGTAAGTGCTAATGAACTTCTGGGAAGCCCTTGATATCTTACTAGAGTAGTAAAGAATTACAATTCTCACACAATATTTGAGGTTTTTTTTATTTAAAGTATGTTGTGTGCAGCTGCATTTACTGGAAAACATTCTCTCTGGATTTCAGAGAAATGCTCTTTGACCATTTTTTTTTTTTGCCTAGGGGAATAGTTTTGGCAAATCACAGAAGCACTTTATTAATAGATGGAATTAACCACAGCAAATGGATTTATTGTTGCCTTGAAAAATTAAAAAAAACTTTTCAGTTCCCAAGAATTTAAAGATTAAAGACCACAAGACCCCAAATTGTACCATGAAATTCAACGTTCAATGTTTTTTAAAGAAAATGAATTGTAGCCCCAGAGAGCCACAAGTAAGCCTCTTAATTCACATCTCTCTTTTAAAACAACTGAAACTGGGAAAGAATTTTGTTCTAAAATTTCAAAGCCCCCTTCTCTAATTAGATCTTTGCATAAGTTGCTATGGTCCTGCTGTCCTGAGGCAAACTTAAGTCATACATTAAGTGAAAGACTCCATCCCAAAGAAGATAATGTTTGCCCCCAATTTGTAATCCTTCTCTGTTCAAGTAAATTCTACTAACTATCCTGCTATTAATGTGTAGTTCAATATTGATATTTTATGGATGTTTTTATCTTATGGGTTTTCATTTCTGCTTTGGGAAGTTCCTGGATGCTAAGAATGTATAGAGTTGTTCCTTTTTAATCAGTCCTATGCTGTTGTACTTCTTTAAGAAAGGGTATTATTTTAAACCTCTAAAGAAGTGTTAAATAAGTAGGACTTTCCCCTTTCTTGTGCAAATCATGTTTTCTCATTTTTTTCTTCCTCTCCATCCAGGCTCAGGTGATAAGGAAAATGATTAGGTGGATCTATTTTCCTTGAAATGTTTTTGAATCTATTTAATCTCCCAGAGTTCTATGACATGATAGATAGATAGATAGATAGATAGATAGATAGATAGATAGATAGATAGATAGATAGATAGATAGATAGATAGATAGATAGATAGATAGATAGATAGATAGATGGATAGATAGTTAGATAATCTTTATTGTCATTTGTTACTGTGGCCACAATGGCACACATTAAAAATGAAATTTAAACATACTATATACAACATACGTATAGACCTACACCTACATTTTAACAATTATATCCATAAACCAAACTTGAATAACATGCAAATTTGCAAACATTATTCAACTACAACTCAATTGTCCATCATTAGTGGCCATGCTGGCTAGGACTCGTGGGATTCAGAATTCAGTAATATTTAGATAATATTGTTCATCCCTACTTTCAAACGCCTCTGAATCTCATAGATCCTATTTCTCAGGAAAATTTCAGAAAACAATGAGTTGTTTGGCCTCCAGAAGTTGTGAATGCTCCAACACTGGGAGTTTTTAATAAGAGATTGGACAACCATTTGTCTGAAATAGTATAGGGTTTCCTGCCTAAGCAGGTGATTGGACTAGAAGACCTCCAAGGTCCCTTCCAACTGTTATTCTAATTCTAATTCTAGTGGTTTCTCCATCTACCAGATGTTACAAAGTATTATGCTGATATGGATTATACATGGTTTTCGATCATTCAGCAGCCTGAAAATGGGATAACTTTATGCTAATATTTCATATTGTTTTGCCATTTTATTGTGTAACTTTGCTTTATTTATGTGACGGTATGATCAAATACCTTGAAATGATGAAAATATACAAGACTGTTTCAAAGCAGGTAATGGAGGCAGAAAGTTTGATCTGTAGGTATAAGTTTATGTAGAATGTGGAAATTCCAGAATGAAAACTTCTAAGATGACAGATCAAGAGATGGTTCATCACTGCATGCTGGATGAAATGACACTCATGTTGACAAATGGCTAAATGAATAAGAACTGGAAATGGCAAAGCCTTGTCAGCAATTATGCAAATGAATGGGAACTCTTTAATTCTTTGGCCCAATACATAGAATGAGATACTGTATATGGTGGCCTTCCCATTGTAATTCTTCTAGAACTCAAATTTAACCTGGTCACCTCATAGTTGTATGAGAATAACAGAAGGATTTAAAAATCTTAATTCAGAAAGTGAAGAATAAAATGGATTTGTTTCTTTGGAACGATTTTTTTCAGAATCATTAGAACAATAGCAGCACCGAAGATATCAAGAACCTATTTACAATCCTATTTTCGTTGGAAATAGTTATGTATTTCTTTGCCAATTATTCCTCATCAGGCTCCACATAGCTATCAAAATCAGA